GGACACTTGTTAAACAGCCGAGGGTCAGCAGCAGGGTCCGCCCTGCTCCCCAGCTCAGACAGGCTGAGAGTGAAGGCTTACGAAGGTTGTATATGCTGCCTGGATTTCTCATTCTGGGGCAAACTCAGGCCCACTGGAGCGTCAGGGTTAGGGTCTGGTAAACTGGATTGGGTTTGGTAAACAACATTTCACATGGAAAGTGAATGCTTCACTGGCCCCTACAAGGATAAAAAGCCGCTGGCATTGCAATGTGACACACGGAGCAAGCACCTCCTCCGCTGTCCACATGCTCCAGAGGGATTCTGATCCGTGCAATGGACCACAACGGTTCCCACCTGAATCGGGGGAAGGGGAGGGTGCGACAGGTCTCCCCGCGGCCGTGAAACCAAGCAAGTTCCCAGGCTCTCCAGGGAGCTGGGGGAGAAGTCAATTAGCATCAGCACTGACCTGTGAGCAAAGGACATTCTTGTGGATTTTCCTGTAAATAAGAGCTGGGCAGATAAAGCAGATGAGGCTTCCCATGGTAGCACCTGTTAGGCCCAGCACGGTCTCCACTGGCGAGAAAGAGCAAGAACAATAAAGACATGAGTGTGTGAAAAATCCTTGGAGGGAGGGGAAGGATCTGGGGAGGCTGGCAGGGCGCCACTTACGACCACAGCGCCGAGCAACCCTAGAGAACGTGAGACCAGCCTCCAGCCAGCAGAGAACCAGAACTGGGGTAAAATTAGTCACTGCAATGTATGCAGCGCACAAGGACTTAGTCACCTTCTAATGACTTCGCCCAGCTGCAAGTCCCTGCTGGGCTCTCTCTCTGCAAGGGCACCTCCTCCCAGTCCCCCTCCCCGCAAGTCTCCACGTTCCTGCTCGCAGCCAGGCGAGCTAATCACCCCTCCCAGGCTCGCCTTTTCTGCAGCCGTGTGTAGGGAGCACGCAGACACAGCCAGTGCTAGCTGGACACGCCGGCGCGCGGGGTCCGTAGCCATAAATAACGGGCATTCTTGTGAATAATGTTCCCACTGATTCTTTCCTTCCGTGTGTGGAATTAATGTTGTTACGTGCACCGAGGCACAGGGATTTTTTCCATCTATGTGTGGAATCAATGTTGTTATGTGCACCGAGGCACAGGGTTATGTGCACCACCATGCTGCTGGCTGGGGGCGCTCTGCTAATCAGCAGGGTGGCACGTGAATTTCTCCTAGGTGGCTGCCCGAGTGCACCGCTTGCAGGACACACGGCTGGTGAACACAGGCGTGAGCGCGGCACAAACGAAACCTGGGTAACTAACAACCACTCAGCGTGCCAGCCTCCATTCGCTCCCACGCCTGCACTTACCATTCGGGATCATGATGCCTCCGACCATGGTTCCAAACACGACCGCCAGCGTGAGGGCTTTAAATCGAAGGGGCGGCATGTAACCCCCCGCGGCAAAGGTGCCATCTTTTTGCTACGGAAAAGCACAGACACAGCACGTTAAGCTCCAGCTTCGCGCCCGCAGGACCCCACAGCTGCCAGTCCAGCGCGCCCTGCGAGCTGAGCCGGACGAGGCCGTGCAGTGCCGGGAGGGCCTGCCAACGCGCCCCCCTCCCTAGGTACGCAGGCAGAGGGCGAAGCGAAGTGGGGGGGACATTTTGATGTGCAGGGCACCCAAAGCTGCTAGTTCTCAGCGTCTGGTTGACGACGGCAGGTAGCACCACAGCTCCCTCCGTTGCCCGTCCCGCCGGCCAGGCAACGCCGCGGGGAGCAAGTGCCGGAGAAAGTGCAAGCGGTGATGACAACGCGAGGGCACCTGGGCCCAGGGTTACTAGGGAAACAAGCTGGCTGTTGCTACAGCTCGTGGGCTCTTGAGTGCAGCTGGGGAAGCAGGGGACCGCTCCACGGCCCTGGCTCACAGCTAGCTCCACGCCTCTGCAAACAGCCAACGGCATTTGTGGTGCCATTTTCAAAACACAACAGGCTTCCCTGCCCGATCCAGCCCCCCCCAGCTGAAACACGCCCCTCCCCACCCTCGGGCAGAGCCCCGGGGCGCTGCCTCGACAGCAAGGCTCCTGTGATCCAGGCTCTGGCGCGCCCAACGACTCGCCATTTACTTCCTGCCCAGAAGGCTTCTCTGCGGCTCAGCACACAAAGGCCTCAGCACATCCCCACGGTATCTCCCTGCTCTCTGCTCTCCAGGGCATGCCTCGTGCTGAACACCACACCGAGGACAACATGCTCTTGCCACAAGAGATCTACAGTCTAAATCGGGCGGATGGTGCAGTCCAGGGGTGGGCAATAATATTTGAAGGGGGGGGCACTTAACAGATTTTTGAAGCGGCCCTGGTCTGCCCCAGAAAGGGTGGGGCCAGGACAATTCCCGTGATCCCCTGCCCACAGACCCTGATTGGCCTGGGGGCAGGGGAGCATGTGAAGTGTTTCCCCCCCACACCCCTCCACTGCCTACAGAGAACCACCAACTGTTCTGAACAGCCGGCGGTTCCCTGTAGGCACCATGTGCCTTTGGAAGTGGGCGGAGACTTCCAGCACTTCCCCTCCCCGCAGGCCAATCAGGGCCTGGAGGCATGGCAGTGCACAAAGTCTCTGGCCCCTTGCCCCCACCGTGCCAGGAGTGTGTGGTGCCTAGAGTGAACCACCAGCTGCTCAGAACAGCCAGCGGTTCAATCCAGGCGCTGTGCACCCCTTGCCGGGCAGGAGGAGACTTTGTGCGCTCCCCCGTCCCAAGGCCTCGATTGACCTGGGGGCAGGGCCGCATCCAGCCTGTGGAGGCTCTGCTGCCCACCCTGGTGTAGTCACAAAGTACACCTAAGGCCAGAAGACGACCTGCTTCCAGGCATGGTGAAAGCGCCTGAGGGAGCGGGGTATTTAAGCTGTATTTCTACAGCTGGGCATCCCTGAACTGTTACGAGGAAGCGGGACGTGGAGCGGAAGCATCTGAAGGAAGGAAGGAGCCGTCTGGCCTACAAGAAGGGGAGGCAAAGCAGGAAGTGAAAGCTAAAGATGCAAGACCGAGCTAGAGAAGCGAGCAGGAAGGCGCAGGTGCAGAGATGTCGGGAGGAGGGGACCGTGAGCTTGAGCTAGATACGGCTGTGAGATGGGACGGCGGCTGGAGGAGGCAAGGGGTGTCCTCGGTTTCTAACGGACAAGTCTCCCTCTCCGGCTCCTAAGGGAGAGCGCACCCTTACGCCGCTTGGCATACACCGGGTGTGAGAAGGGCTACTGGAGCATGGAGCGAGCACTGCACTCGGGCTCTAGTGAGGGGATGGCAGAGCACACGGTGCAACCCCGTTAAACTATTCCGTGCTGTGCAAGGCCAAGCCTTCCGAGCGGCTGCATGTCAGCGGGCGCGTTTCCAGAGCCAGACTCACAAGCAGCTCTGCTCAGAGCCTCCTGCTGCCCCTCTTGGGGCACCCCAGGGGTTCCCATTTCACTGGCAGCTGCAGGGCTGGGGCTGGGGGTTCATCCTCTCTCAACACCAGGGACCTGCTGCTCTTCAGAAATACGGCGGCCTCGGCCGAGCTGGGCAGGCCAGGGGAAGAGAGAAAGCGCGCCCTCTGGCGGCGCGGGGCGGGAGGGGCTTACCTGCTGCTCAAATAGGAGGGTGTTGAGTGCCTGCCGGCAAGGCAGAATCATCATGGGGAACCCAACAGCGACCGACATCATGAACCCCACGCGAATCATCTCGGTCACCAGGTTGGAGGGGAAGTTCATGAGCACGTTCCCCGCGATGGCGTCAGTGTAGCTCACGTAACCAAAGAAGCCCACCTGTGCAATGGGGAAAGGGAGGGAGTGCTAGGCCGGGGGGTGTTTTCTTAACAGCCAGCATACAAGCCCAGGGCTCCCCCTAGACCTCCCTTTGCGGCATTGGGACACTTGTATGACACTTGGCTCGCCAAGCCAGGGAGGGCAGCGGGGAGAGACTGCAGGAGTGCAGTGCTTTGAGCTTTTCCAAAAGCAACTGGCAGAGTGTGTCAAATGAAACAGGGCACTGCCCAGCTAAGAAACCGGGGGAAACTTCCTACAATGCAGATCTTCCAGGAGACCCGGCTATGGTATCGTTCCTAATCAAGCTAGGTGGCTGCAGGTGCTTTCACCAAAAAGCCACTAACATTATTAGCTGGCGATGCCTGGGTTTAACTGGGGACCCCCTGGAATGGGTGAGGATGGGAGCTGGGCAGCTGCCTTCCCAGTACCCCACCTTGCTCCGAGTTTGCTCGCAGGCTAAGCATTGCAGCCGAGATGGCTGCCGAATGCCGTGAGCGAGGGAGGCTGTAATACAAGCCCGTGCCGCAACTTCACTCACATGGGAGGCTGTCCGTGGGAATTATTAACTGGATTTTATTAACTGGAGTTTTATGAGGCATAACTTCCTTTGTAACCTTCCAATGGCAACAGGCTGACGGGCAGCCCTCTCAAAAGACAGCAGCTCATTGGACGGCATCGCCACGTCCGGTTACACGATTGGAAGATGGGAGACCCAGCCACTGCACATGGAAAATGGGAGACTGAAGCCCCCACTCCAGCACTGCTCAATGGGATCTATTGTTCCAAGACCCTGGGCTCTCTGAACACCTCCCTGCATGCGCAGCCCCCTTCCACTTTATTTTGCTTTCAGCACCAGGACGCCTGATCCCCAAGAGCGGGGAACGCCTGGCCTATCATACGATAGTTATGCTCCCGACTGCTCATCCCACAAGACACTTTGTGGGGAGCAGGGGACAAAGGGGGAGTAAGGCAGGGTAGAGGTTGCTCACCGTAACATAGAAGGTGGTGACCACGTTTAGGGAAGAAGCAAATATGGAGCTCATTATTTTAACGGACGGTTCATCCAGGCTATCGTAGGTCGGCAGGACCTGGCTGCAGAAAAGCAGGTTCACATATTAAGCAGTTTTAGGAAACCGTCCAGAGAGATGCAAAATCAAGTGCATTCCCAAAGCTGTCTTGCAGCAGCCCAGCAGAGACAAATCTCTGACGCCTCCCCCCCGCCCAGCGTAAACAAACACGACCAGTCCACAATTTATATTGCTAGTGCCAAGAGATTTCAGAACACTCACCATGTTAAGTGCTGCAAAAATATTCCCCCCCCATTCCCTCCCACCACGTGGAGTTCAACGTGTGATGTAAACATCTCGGTTCAAAAGTGTTACAAAGTGAATGACCGTTTGTTCCGCTGATACACCAGTGGCACAGGTCCAGGCAGCACATTGGAGATTATTGTTCTTGGAGCGCGCCATGCCGATAATTAAAGCAGCGCAGTGTTTACAGAATGAAAGCGGGAAGAGGACTAGAGCATCGCACTGTCTCAAAGAAAAGTTAAACAAACAAAATTAAATACAGCGCCTGTCATATTTCAGCGCTGCTGCTAGAACCCAGTTCAGAGAAAGCCGGAAGGGCCAATTACACAGGATTTGGGGGTATTTATATCCTTGGAAAACACATGGAACCTACTTTTTCTACACCACGAGGTGCATATTTTAGCAACTTATTAACCTCTTGCTGCTCTCGTCCCTGTGGCCACCTCCTGACTGCATACTACAGAAAGAGACGAGGGCGAAAGAGACGAGGGAACGGGTAACTCAGAGGGGAGGGGGTATCCCCACCGCCAACGGACATTAAAACAAAAGCGTGTGAAACTGAATCAAAGTCTTCACCTTTGGTGCACCAAAATGTTCTGCACAGGGCAAACTGGGCTGTGACTTTAAACTGCATATTGCGACCTAGGCAGGAGAGCGCGCGTGCGTGTGTGTATATATCTATCTATCTATCTATATCTCGCACTGTGACAGTCATGTATTTATGGGACCCAAGAGGTAAATGTTCGTACAAGGCCATGTAGGATTTAAACTTCTTCACGGATCTTGAAATAAAGCCCCTTAATATAGCAAGTGCCAGACCTCCTGGGCTCTCCTCTGAAATAGCAGCAGGCCCAGCAGGGGGTGGAGCGGCGGCAGAGCCATCCGAGAATGCGAGGAGACCACTCTCTTGTCCAGGCTCCCATTTTGTGGGCACAATAACAATGCAGCAGCATAGCCCTGGGGGGAGGGGGGGAGTGCCACGTGAATTCTAGCTGCCTCCAATCCCTCTGTGGTCGAACAGCCATGCCCATCTGGTCAGCCTGGGTTCCCAGTCCCTGCAATCCAGACCACATGCCGCCGTGACCTCCCTGCCAGTCAAACGCCCGTCTGGGTGGAGCAAGAGTACGACACGCACGCAGCAAGCAGCACACCCTGGCATGCTTGGGTTCTATTTTTAACCCAGAACAGGCGTGTGGCAGGCCAGTGACAGACCAGAAGCCTTCTCCTGGCAAATGCCTGGTGTAGGAAACTCCACATCACTTGCAAGCCAGTAAATCGAAGACCCCAGGCTGGAGCGGAGAGGAACTGCTAGACCTCCTGCGCTCTACAGTCACCGTAGTCCTGAGAGGAGGGCACAAGCGAGGCGGGTCGGAGCCTGCGAGACGGAACCCTGGGCGCATGGCAGAGGTGGCTGGAACCAGTGAGGTCGTCTGTCACTCAGTATTCCCCCACCCAACCCCTGTGAAGCCCATCTCCTGTACTATTTGTAGTGCAGAATACGGGTGCTGCGTGAGCAGTAGTCAGCAGGGAAACGCGGGATTAAAGAGATACCACACAAGAGCGAGAGAATCAATGTAGGGTCACTTTGTGCCTAGACGCCAGGCCCAGTCTGAAAAATGAGCACCCACAAGCCGTCACTGACATTACAGCAAATGACATCGTTAAGCACCCCTCTAAACCCAGAGTAGCCAAGGGATCACATTCTGACTTTGCTGAGTGGGTGACCTCAGTGGTATGACACCAGTGTCACTGGCATCAGAACCTAGGACAAGGTGCAGGTTATATATTAATCCTCAACCCTCCTGTCAAATATGGTGTGCCCATTTTACAGTTGGGCAAACTGAGGTATGGAGGCTAAGAGACTTGCCCAAGGTCACATGGAAAGAATGTGGCAGAGCTTGGATCAGAACTCAGGGGTTCCGAGTTCCCAATCTCCCCAGTGAATCTACTAGACCATACTGCATAATGGTGGAGAGGGAGATTCCTCTTTGAGTTGAGCAACACTAATATACATTTCAAAGCGCAGGGGAACCGAATCTACAAGTATGATCATGCATTTAAGAGAGATGAAAATAATGGTGCATTCTGCTTGTCACCACTGCATGTTGCATTTGTGTATCTGGGGGGGGAAGAATATGGCTTTTTTAGATATTATTCATATTTATTTTTCAAAAAATGATTGGGAGGCCAGCAAAATTAAATCTCCCCAGTCAGAAAATGATATGCCTGTGACATCACATGGACTGCATGTTTTTCTGATGCTGGGGGCGGGGGAAATATAGGTTTTAGCTGTAGGTTTGGCTCGTTCTTTCAGTGGCATAACAGAATCTATATTTAGATAGATATATGCACACACTAGTCCAGACCATATAATTTTGCTGGGTTTCCAACTCCCTACAAATGTGCACTGGTTACTGTGAGGCTACCACAAGAAAAGGACAATTTTCTATTTAAAAAGAAAACCCTACAGTGGTAACTAGGTAAAGCTGTAAAAGAACACAATTTCTGTCGCCAATTACAATGGAGACATTAAACAGCAAGACTGGAGCGTGTTCTGCTAGAAACAAAGCTGCCAAGAGAGACGATAAGTGGGAAATGATGATTTGGATCTCACATGTGGGTGTAAACACAGCAGTATGAACAAATTTTATTTGTCACATTAATTTACTACTGGCATGCAGCACGTTTGCTAGAACTACAGGGGGGAAGGGCCCATTCTGCCAGCCTTCCTAATGCTGAAGGTCTTGTTTTGTGTCCACAATTGGATTTACACATCTATTTTGACCTGGCTGCTGCTTCCACCAGGCATGAATCACTTGCTCTTGTCATTTGGCTGGGGAAAGTAACGCTGCTGGAGTCATGGAAATAACCGGGTCTTTGGTACCATGCCTGTGTGCCCCAGAAGCTAGCCCTCATTAAAAGCAGTGGGCAACTGGAAGCAATGATCTGAAGCCAACGATTATGCAAGTGTCTTTTAAAAATTCACAGCTGCATTTGGGGAGGCTGCCAGCGTGGATGTGCCTGGGGAGGGGGTTCGGATGGCGGTTAGGATGGAAGCAGCCACGTCTCTTTTCCTGATATTGAACCACGCTTTTCAAGCACTGGATCAAATTCGTCATTGGTGTAATGCCAACGACGTCACACCAGGGATTAATCTGACCCAGTGCATTTTATGAACCTGTAATTGCTCGAGTGCAGGAACTCCTGAGTGAAACATAATTCCCTCCCCCCATCTGCGTAACAAAAGCGGCTGCACTTCCGTGGGCTGTAAAACAGTGTGATTAAACTGCAAGAGGGAACCAGACGGCAGCTACCCCAATCAGATCCCTGGGACCCTCTGCTCTCCCCAAGCTAACGCCACGATCGCTGGACCGGTGGGTACTTACGACTGGCAGGCAAAAGACATGCCAAAGATGGGAATGCAGCGAAAAAGGCCTTCCCAGCGCACGTAGCTGACCCGTTTCAGCCACTGTCCACCGAAGAGGCCATGTTTGAGAGAGGAGAGCACAATCTGGAGCCAAAGGAAAGAAGAGGTTAAGAGCCACCCAGCAGAGGCACGGAGCCAGAGCGGGCACATAGGCAGGAACATCACTAAGGCAGTGGTGGAGGGCAGATAAGGCGGCTCTTGTTGAAGAAGGAAGAGGGGTGGAGTAACTTACCCCGCACCTCACAACTGGATATTTACTCTGAAGCTTTCCCAGTCTCAGCCCCAAACCCTCAACCCAGGTGAGTCAACCTTCCAGCTCCTCTGATCTGTACAGGTCACTGCTGGCTGCTGGGCAGCAAAGGTCCTTTGAAAAGGCGCATCCCTTTCCCTGGTCAGCGCCATGCTGCTAGCAAGCACCATGACTCCCTCCCACCACACATCCTAGAGTTGGAACAGTCCAACTCGGCAGTCATTTGCATTGGGGCCAGAGAAACTGGAACTGGCAGATACAGGAAAATTGTCCTTATAGATGACGGGCCATAGCGCACCCAGATAAGACAACACCTGCAGAGCGTCCAACCAAGCCCCCCTGAGGATGAGAGTGCTCTGAAGACCACCGTCAATGCCAAGGAGGTAAGCAGAGGCACCAAAAATGGCTTATGAGAGGTACACGTATCTGAATCCATGTTCCCTATAAGCTGGGCGCATGTGCAGCTGCTCAAGAGAAATTCAAACGTCGCCTACTGAGCAGCAGAGCACCACGGCTTAGGCTGTGTGTTTCCATTGGTGGTGCACATGCCTCAGTGCACGTAATTATTCCACACATGAATGAAAAATCCACACGTCTGGAAAAGATTAGCGGGAACATTGATCCAAATGCCCATTTATGAACTAGTCTAAATGCTTCTAGAGATTCTGTCAGTGTCACTAACTTTAGGGACATTTGGTGTTTTCCTTAAGGCCCCCCGCTCCAGCATCTCGGGATTGTAAAGATCACAGCTTTCATTTTGAGCCCTCCAGCTCACAGAGAACAGCTTGAGTGACTAAAGCGCATCCTAGGAGCTCAGAAATCAAGTGGCCAGATAAAAAGAACTCAGAACCTGAGGACACTCTGAGGGCCTGACATGATTTTGAACCAGGTGGTGGGAAACCTGCAGCCTCTTGGATGTTCCCCTAAAAGATCTGCTTTGGGAACGCCTGTGCGTGGCTCACGAGACTTTTTGTTCCCATTGCCCACGCACGGGGTTGCCAGATTCTGCTCATTTCCATACATGTCGGTGTTTTCCTACCAGTACGACTGAAGTGACACGCATGTAGAGCCAGGGCACGTGAAGGGAGGTGCGGGCTGATTACAAGCCAGGTGCCCCAGAGGGAGGGAACCGAACAGGGAATGATCAAGCCGTCTCACTCCTGCCATCCATCTCCACCCTCCGACAAACAGAGGCTAGGGACCCCATTCCTTACATCCTCCCCCCCACATACGCTCCCTGGCAGTCCTCTTCCACACACTGAATCCTGACTGATTTTTCTTTGGGTCCGCTGCTACGGCTCAGTCAGCATGTGCAAATTCTAGCTACACAAGCGCACTTATTAAAACTACCCTGTCCCGGGAGACCATCTTAGTTACAGAAATCTTGCGGCCCATGAAAGATCGCTAACGTAGGTTGCCCCGCACTGTATTGAACACTTGGGGCTAGCAGTACCGCTGTGCATTAAGTGAATTAAAATCTCCAGTGCCAGTTAACAGTGTCATTTAACGAGTGTCCTGAAGAAATACTGTAATCATCCTGTTAAACTTCCCGCATAAGACACACCGCAGAACTTCCCCAAAACAGTTCCTGGAGCAGATCTTTTAGGAAAACATCCAATCCTCACCTAAAAATTGCAGGGGATACAGAATCCACCACACTCCTTGGAAGTTGTTCCACTAGTTAGTTACCTTTAATGCTAAAAACATGTTTATTTCCAGTCTACTCTTGTCTAGCTTCAATTTCCAGCCACTGGACCATTGCCTGCCAAACTGAAAAAGCCCATGATCAGTTTTTGTTCCCCATCTTGGTACTTAGAGATTGGGATCAAGTCACCAATGTTCCCTCTAATTTTGTCCATCCATGTGCAGAATAAATTTTGTTATATGCACTGAGGCATATGTGCACCACCAATTGAAAAGCATGCTGCCGTCTGTGGGCGTTCTCCTAAGGTGGCATTTGAATCTCTCCTGGGCGGCCGCCCAAGCGCTCAGCTGACAGGGAACACTGCAAGTCACTCCTTAATCTTCTCTTTGTTAAGCTAAATAGACTGAGTTCCTTGTGTTTATCAGTACAAAGTATATTTTCTAATGCTCTAATCATTCTCACAGCTCTTCTCTGAAACTTCTTCAATATATCAACCTCCTCCTCTAGGTGGAGTACAACTTAGTAAGCTGTAGAAACTCATCAGTGCTGCCTACTTAATCAAATTGGCAGTTTCTTCAAGGTAAAGCTTTTCCGTGAGGCCTAAAACAAACTTTTTTCCCCACCTTTATGTGGCCATGAGCTCTTGACTGCAGAAGCAATTTAAAGCGCGACCATTTAGGAAGAAAAACGCTGATTGGCTCCATGACATTTACCACCGATCCAAATCTTGCAAGCAGTGTAAAAACTTGTGTCCTTAAAAATAATCATTTTTCTCCCCAAAGATCAAGGCTTTATGAGTTTTAAGGGAAAAAGCTATTACATTACAGAATTCATTTTGCAGCCGTGTACGTCTTCCCTCGTCGCCTGTCTCCACATTTAATCAGAAATTCAGAATGTTACAAGCCGCACAAGCACTCGAAAGCACACCGTGTAATACAGGCCACAATGTGGCTCAGCCGCCACAATGTATAGTCTTCACAGCGCCTGACAGACGTGCTAGCCAATTCCTATACAATAGGGCTGTATATTCTTACTTCCATGTGGATAAGCGTGTGGGCATCAGGGCGACAGTTCTCCCATGCGGCGTCAGCAGAATGTAACAGAAATGAGTACTGTGTTTCAAACTTGGACCCCGAACCGGCATGCTGTTCCCGGTGGGCAGCCCCTGTGAGCACACAGTCCCCCGCTGGGCTGCCAGGCAGCGGGCCCTCCCACACGGAACAGCTGGCAGGGTCAGGGCCTCAATCTGCATAGAGTTTTCTTTCAGAGGAATTAACCACGGATGCTCTCCCCGCTAAAGACGCAACATTTTCCCGCGCCATCGATACTCACCACAAACATAAACACCGTGTAGAAGATCAGAGCCATGGCACTGAACGACTGTATGGAAGCCATCATATTCCTCTGGAGGCTCAATGGCAGGACGATGCACAGGGAGACAGCAAACAGCAGGATTATGCGGAAACTGCCAGTTACCTGAAAGATCAGCATAAGGGACAGACGTACAGAGCCGGCTTAGATCTCCCCATTTTGTGAACTGGGACTCATAGGCCAGTCTTGACAAAAAGAGCGGATTACCCCAAGGAGGAGACAGGAGGCAAAGAGAAGAGGCGAGGAATCGGACGCTTTGGACAAGGCTCCTAGACCGGGAACTATTATTTCCTCAGTAAGGTCTGTGATTAACCTGTGCAGTCACTGGGTGCCACTGTTGCTCTCTACAGCACACGCCAACCCACTCTCAAGCAGCTTTGCTGGGGGGTTAAACGATAATCCAAACACAGACGAGCTGAATATTTTGTATGCACTTCCAGCAGCCACATGAAAATTAACCTTGCATCTCAAAAAAAGAGGAGGGGACAGGAGAACAGAAATGGAAGTCTTGAAAACTCCGATCCAGAGAATTAATCAGAAACACATATTGGTATTTATGATAGCAGAACATTCTGAAACGCTTGGAGATATTTAATCACTCATTTAATGCTTCTTTCTAACTTCACAGTTCCTTAATCTGAGCTTCGCAGCATCAGGCTGGCGCAGATATCAACCACTCCAAGATCCAGCGACACGTCCACGTCACTTCCCCCGCCTGCCCCATCCCCATCCGAAAACCGCAGGTTGTTCCTTTGGAGAGCAGTGCGCCAGGGAAGAACGCGTCTGTCCCATCTGTGCCAGGGAGAGGCACTCCCCAACAGTCCCCATCTAAAGCGGGGTGGGGGAGGAGTACGGGGTGTATTTCAATTGGAAGGGGATTGGCGGGTGGCTGAAATACCCTGATCCGTCCCTGATCCTTCCTCTCTGCACCCCAAAGTACTCCAGTTGGGGCGCAGGAGAAGCACTTCAAACTAGAATGGTAGATGGGGAGGAGAGTCTGAGCAAAGGAAGAGGGACAGAACGTACCAACTCCCGCAGACACTCCAGGTGGAATGTGTTGCAGGCCACACATTTCACGAGACTCGCATTTTAAGAGAGTTATTTTGTGGCACATGCTGTTTCCTATGTCAGGAGTTTTTGGCATCCTACTGTCTGACATGCTTCAGGACTGGTAGGTGCTGACATGGCAAGGTACTCTCTTGTTTCAGTGCAGAGGTGAGGAAGCTTCTTTGCATCGGGGGCCATGGACCCAAAGAAAAATCAGTCGGGGTTCAGTGTGCGGGAGAGGAATGCCAGGGAGCCGACTGGGGGGAGGGATGTAGGATCTTGGTGGGAGGGAGGGTGCAGAAGTGGGCTGGGATGGAGCAGGTAGGGGGTGCGGTGCCCGGGGAGGAGGTAGGGTGCAGAGGCAGGTTGGGGGTGCAGTGCCCAGGAAGGAGGCAGGGCGCAGGAGAGGGCTGGGGGTGCGGTGCCCGGGAAGGAGGCAGGGCGCAGGAGAGGGCTGGGGGGGCGGTGCCCGGGAAGGAGGCAGGGCGCAGGAGAGGGCTGGGGG